CAGTGGTGGGTAAACACTTTTCACATAGCAATCACTGCATCTGACCTACAAGTCTTCATCCTCAAAGGAAATCTGCACAACACTTTCAAAAGACAAGCCTGGGAGCTTAAATTTATAACTTTGCTAGATACTAAAAATCATGGACTGAATAGAAACAAAAAGAAAACGAGTACTAGTAGCACCTTAGAGACTAACCAGTGGATTTATGGTTTACTACAATCTGTAACCCGCTCACAACCTCCCCCACAACTGCTCCCTCACCCTTTCTTCCCTATGACTAGACAGGTGTTAATGGGCCACTTACCACACATTTCAAGGTGAACTATTTATACTAAACAATCTGTTTCACCTTGTATTTGAGAGACAAGGTGAGTGAGGTAATATCTTTTAAAGGACCAACTACAGTTGGTAAGAAAGACAAGCTTTCCAATCTTACACAGAGCTCTTCTTCAGGTCACTTTGTATTTAGCAACAACACCCAGACTATGGGCTTGGCTACACTTGCAGATGTAGAGCGCTGGGAGTTAAACCAGCCTTCAGAGTCCGCAGCAGAGAAAACACTGCTGTGTGTTTACACCGTCAGCTGCAAGCGCACTGGCGTGGCCACATTAGCAGCTCTTGCAATGCCACAGAGAGCAGTGCATTGTGGTAGCTATCCCAGTGTGCAAGTGGCTGCAGTGTGCTTTTCAAATGGGGGGGGTTGTGTGTATGTGGGGGGAGAGACTGTGTGTTTTGGGGGGCAGAAAGTGTGTCAGCATGCTGTCCTGTAAGTTCAGAAAGCGACAGACCCCCACCTCACACACACACGCACGCACACAGCAGCAGCATTCCACAGTAATGGTTTGCTTTGTCCTGGAGCAGATACGCATGCCAGCGGTCAGAAACAGAGCTTTGAAAGGGGATATCCGAATACCTGCAGCCAAGTTCGGGCTTGCCTACATTTACATTTTATAGCACTCTAACTTATTGGCTCAGGGAGGTGAAAAATAACCCCCCTGAGTGCAGCAAGTCTGAGCGCTTTAAAGCGCTAGTGTAGCCAGGCTCCCAGCACTCGGAGCTAATCCCCTCATGGAGGTGGATTACCAGGAGCGCTGGGAGAGCTCTCACTCAGCCGTGGGAGCGTTCCCACAAAAGCGCTTTGAAGTTTCTAGTGTAGCCATGCCCTTCAAAACAATGACAAGAGTGGCCACTTGACTTCAGGGCATTATGGGATGTTTCCGGAGGCCAAACAGCGCAGTAATGCAACACGTTGTCCACACTGACTCCCAGCCGTTTCAGCTGGGGCGCAGCAAGCTTTATGCTTCTAGTGGAGGTGGATTACCAGGAGCGCTTCAGCTGCAGAGTCCAGGCGCTGTAAGTGCCTTGCCACTGTGGACACGTCAGGAGTCAGGACACCCGGGGCCGATTTAATGCGCCCTAACTTGAAAATGTAGCCAAGCCCTATGTCTACACAACAGCAGCTGCACCGCTGTAGCACTTCTGGTGAAGACGCTCTGAGGCAGGGGTGGCCAACCTGAGCCTGAGAAGGAACAGAATTTACCAATGTACATTGCCAAAGAGCCACAGTAATAAGTCAGCAGCCCCCCCATTAGCTCCCCACCACCGCTCCCAGCGCCTACCGGCAGCCCTACCGGTCAGTGCCTCTCCCTCCCTCTCTGCACCTCCCAATCAGCTGTTTCATGGTGTGCAGGAGGCTCTGGAGAGGAGGGTGGATGGCACGGCAGGCTTAGGGGAGGAGGTGGGAAGGGATGGAGTGTGGGCGGGGCCTGTGGCAGTGCCAGGGTTGAGCAGTGAGCACCCCCTGGCACACTGGAAAGTTGGTGCCTGTAGCTCCAGTCCCGGAGTTGGTGCCTATACAAGGAGCCGCATATTAACCTCTGAAGTGTTGCATGTGGCTCCGGAGCCACAGGCTGGTCAACCTGCATCTGAGAAGGAGCCAGAATTTAACAATGTGCATTGCCAAAGAGCCACAGTACAGCAGCCCCCCCGTCAGCTGCCTCCCTGCCCCCAGTGTTTCTCATCCGCCATCAGCACTGCCGATCAGCACCTGACCCTCCATCCCTGCACCTCCCGTCCGCTGCCATCAGCTGTTCTGTGGCGTGCAGGAGGCACAGGGGAGGGAGGAGGAGCAAGGGCACGGCAGACTCAAGGGAAGGGACGGAGGCATTGGAGGAAGGAGTGGAGTGTGGCTGGGGCCTGAGGCAGAGCCAGAGGTTGAGCAGTGAGCACCCTGTAGCACATTGGAAAGTTGGCGCCTGTAGCTCCAGTCCCAGAGTTGGCACCTATGCAAGGAGCTGCATATTAACCTCTGAAGAGCCCCATGTGGCTCCAGAGCTCCAGGTTGGCCACCCCTGCTCTAAGGCTATATCTACATTAGCCCTTTTGTCAGTATAACTTATGTCACTCAGGGGTGTGAAAAAACACCTCTCTGAGCAACATAAGTTACACCTACAGAAGCGCCAGTGTGGACAGCACTATGTTGACAGGAGATGCTCTCCTGCCTATATAGCTACCGCTCGACAGGAAGACTCTCCCGTTGGCATAGAGCAGCTACACAAGCGATCTTACAGCAGCACATCTGCATCAGTATAGCTGTGTTGCTGTAAAATCGCTACTGTAGACATGGCCTAAGCTGACAGGAAAGAGCTCTCCCTTCCAGGACTTTGGAGCGGAGCCCACGGAGCAGCAGGTTTTTGCCTGGAGCTGGAGAGGAGCCGGAGCACAGCTCCAAAGCCCTGCTCCCTTCAGCTTAATAAATCCTCCCTCCAAGAGAGGCACTAGCTATGTCGGCGGGAGAAGTTCTCCCGCCGACATAGTGCTGTCCACACTGGCGCTTGGGTCAGTATGATTTACGTCGGTCAGGGGTGTGGATTATTCAAACTCTGCTCCGAGCGACATATGTTATGCCAAAGTAATCTGTAGTGTAGACATAGCCTGAGTTAGTTTTCCAGACCTGAAGAAGAGCTCTGCATAAGCCCGAAAGCTTTTTTCTCTCACCAACAGAAGCTAGTCCAATAAAAGATATTTTGCACTCAGACTGACCAGTCAGTTTTCATTGTTAGCCTGTGTGACTTTCTGGGTTGTCCGCAGAGGGGAATCAGGGAAAGATCTAAAAGTAGTAGCTGAAGAACCATTGTATTGGAACTATACCTCATTGTTTGGGTTGCAAATGCACAATATCGAAATATTTAAGTCCCAACAAAACATTATTGATTTTAGGTTGTTTCATTCTGTTCCCAACCCCATTTACACAGACCTAATTCTGGGGTTATTATGGATACCTGACAGTTTCCCTTCAAATAATTAATATTTCTGTCACAGGAAATTTCAACTGCTAATAGAGGGGATATTTTAAAGATAAACAGCAAAAAAAAAAATATGTTTTGTGCTTTATTTTACTTCTTTACTGTGTATAAGGGACCGAAACATTTTTCCTCATCCTCCCCTTATTTTTTTTTATATTGGAAATCAAGCCTAGAAAATGCCTGAAAGACTATAATTACTTGGGGAACATCAGAAGAGCCAAGGGAGTGAAAGTTGTCTAAGAGGCGAAGAAATTTTAAATGAGACTATTTAAAACTGTCTTTTTGTACATAACTTCAATCATGAATAAATTGTTTGGAAAAAGGAAGCCTTTGCTAAGGATTCAAATACCTTCAACGAACATACTGAAGGCCCCAGAAGTCCATCATCAAAAGCAAGGAAGAACTAACTCAACATTCCTGATATATCTAATACAAACAGCAAACAGAGAAAAATCCTTTCAAATGATCTTTATTGTACAAAATGAAGAAGTTTGAGAGCACAAGCCCAATTTTAAAAAATTCTTTGCAGATCATCTTTAAGATAAGCAGAGATCTTTTTAAAGCAGTACCAAGAGGAACGAAAGCCCATTACCCTACACACTGAGTTAGAGTCAAAGGCACAACTCCACTCACAGGTCTCAAGGAATTGAAGAGAAGAGGATATTTGCTACCAACCACCTGCACAGACATAAGGCTTGTCCTCACCGCAGGGTTAGCATGAGACACAACTCAAGTGTGACCCTCACCCAATTCTTGTTCACACACACAAATCTCCAGCTCAATTTAAGTGGTGCTTTAAACCCAAGCTAGCTGGCCACTCAGGGAGCATGGATTAAAAAACACTCAAGTGCTGATGCTTGAGTCAGTAATGCAATGAGGATGCAGCACTCTGTGCAGATAATACAGTCACTCTGTACAGCTTGCTGTGTGATTGCTCTCACTTGAGCTAGGCTAACTCCCGAGGAGCGAACTGGAGTGCAGGTAACTCGAGAGAGCACTGCAGTGAAGACAGCCCATACAGTCACAGAAAAAGTAGCCCCCATCTCTTCCCTGTCTCATGTAGGACATCTCCCCGCAGCCAGTTTCTCTGTCCCCCTGACCCCCTCCAGCTCTCAAGGTTCCTCAGCTGCAGTAACAACAGGAACCCTCCGCCAGGCCTCTGCAACCCTCCTCCGCCGAGTACTCCGGCGACTCCTAGCTCCGGCCACACCCGCAGAGGCGCCGCTCGGAGGCCAAGCCGGGGCGTGCAGCTGTCGGGGCCGGCTCCGGGGAGCACCCGGAACAACCCAGGAGAAGTTTTCCAGGCGGAGGAGGCGCAGGAGAGCGGCCGTTGCCACGGGGGACGCAGGAGCCCGCGTAGCAAGGAGGCGACGGCTCAGCCGTGCGCGGCGGCGGCGGCGCGGGCGCCTCCAACCTGGGCGGGCGGCGCACCCTGCCCAGCGGAGGCTAGAGGCAGAGGGGCCCCCGCACCCACAGCGGGGCTGGGCCCATCACCGCCCCGTGGCGAGGCACGTGCCCGACACGCATCACCCCGCTCAGCCGCCCCCACCCTACCAGCCAGGCGGTGCCGGTGCCACCCCGCCCCCCAACCGGGCGGCTGCGCATTCCCCCCCGCCCCCCAGAGAGACCGAGCGGCCCGGGGGGGTCCCGCTGCGAGGGCAGCTGGGGCTGACACCCCCGCGGGGCGCCACTCACCGAAGTCCAGGAACTGCTTGATGGAGAGCGGCGAGGGGGAGAAGCGCGAGTAGTGCTCGATCTGCTTGGGGATGGGGCTCTTCAGCAGCGCCCCGCACAGCCGCATGGCGCGCCGCTCCCCGGGCCCGCCTGCGCGGCTCGGCCGGGCTAGTGAGCGGGGGCCGGGGCGCAGCCGCCCCCCGTCATGCCGGGCAGCCGCGAGGCCGGCTCCGCCTGTCACCGGCAGCCAACGGGGGCCGGCGGCTGAGAGGGCGGGCGGGAGGGAGGGAGAGAGCTCCCCGCCCGACGCCAGCACCTGACGCGCGCGCACCCCGGCAGCCGCTCGCACGCAGCCCCACCCGCTGCTGGGCGCGTGCGCCAACTGGCCCTGGCCGCGGGCCCGGGCTGGCGGGGGTTCGGGTCTGGGGGAGTGAGGTTGGCAGGAGAGGGGTGTGACAGCGAGACAGACGGGGGAGAGACTGTCTCTCTCTCACACACACAGAGCAACATCCTCCATGTCCCTCCTGTCGCAGGGGGAGAGACTGTCTCACACACACACACACACACACACAGCAACATCCATCTCTTTCCTGGCACAGGGGGGAGAGACTGTCACACACACACACACACACAGAGCAACATCCTCCATGTCCCTCCTGGCACGGGGAGAGACTGTCACACACACAAACAGCAACATCCTCCATGTCCTTCCTGGCATAGGGGGGAGAGACTGTCACACACACACACATACACACACAGAGCAACATCCTCCATGTCGCTCCTGGCACAGGGGGAGAGACTGTCACACACACACACACACAAACAGCAACATCTTCCATGTCCCTCCTGGCACAGGGAGAGACTGTCACACACATGCAGAGCAACTACCTGCATGTTCCTCCTTACACAGAGGGAGAGACTGTCACATGCCCCCTTCCTTGCTGCCCCCACAGAAGAGAAAACACTGTCACAGGCCCAGCAACCACTCTCACGTCCACAGCAGGGGAACCACTGAATGAAAAGACACCCAGGAAAACTCTCTTCTCTCCCTCCCTCCATCACACAGGAGAACAGCCTGTAGCACACCCTTCGCCCCCACACAGGGAAATAGGTAACATGTTCACTGCCGAAAAAAAAAAAGTGTATTTTTACATAAAGATGTTGAATGGTGTAAAATCCCAGTGGAGACAAAGCATTGATAGTTTTATCTAAGGTAGCCTGGTGGCGGTGTAGGTTCACCTCAACTAGCTACATCCAGGTAAAAACTACTTATGATTTATCTCCATTGATCTTGTTTCTGGAGTTAGGTATCTCAATGTAAAACTAACCTCTTTTGCAGTGAAAAAGCCAGAGACTGTAAGGTCTTGTGATCTGGGAGTAATGGTGTATTTTTAACACATGTTAAGGTAACTCATGTTCGAATTTTAATGTAGATAAGGCAAATTGTAGTTTCAACCCATATTAGCTGGTCAAGGAAAACCTTCACATCCCCCCTCCCCAGGCATACGCCCCTAGACTAGCGTAGATAGATTAAAACTATAACTGCTTCATTAGGATGTAAATATGGCTTAAATACCCTTTTCCCTAATGAAGTCACAGCCTAACTCACCCAGTAATACTGCCAGTCTCCACACAGGTGGGGACACTAACACATACAGTAATATCCATCTCAGAGAATATAATACAGCAAAATCTTCTAATCTGAGGAACAGTGAGGAGCACACAGGCAGCTCTCACATTTGTCCATGGTAAGGCAATCTCTCCATATGCATAAAAGGTTAGGATTATCAAGTGTAGAAAGGTGACAACTGTTACTGTCTTTATTCGCCATACATAGCAAAAAGACTTCTGAATACTGGCAGGTGACCTAGCCTAGAGTGACACTATTAACAGCAACTGCATAGATAATGGTGGGAGTTGATGAATTAGTTGTTACACCGTTGGGGGGCATTTTATCTCAGTGGGTAGTAATGAGTTGGGCAAGAAGGAGCAGTGCTCTTTTGTGGGGGTGGGAAATTATTAATGTAGGTGGGTGTATTAGAATGGACAGGGCAATTAGGGGCTAAATTTAGTATCAAAGTAAGCATTAACTTTAGGGCGAGAAGTTAGCGAGCAAAAAGCTCGAGGCAATGTTATGAGGAGGAAAGGGAACAGCCTGATGTAGTGCAAAAGAGAGAGAGAGAGAGAGGATTTGGGCCAGCTGATGCTATATAGAGAGAAGAGGTTGGACACACCAGTATATAGTACTCACTTATTAAACGAAATGTTGGAACCTGTATCTGGAATTTATGGTGCAATCTGGTCCTTCACAATAAAGCATAATTTATTGATATGCAGGGAGAGGGCTGCTCCATAGCTAGTTTCAGAGTAGCAGCCATGTTAGTCTGTATCCGCAAAAAGAAAAGAAGTACTTGTGGCACCTTAGAGACTAACAAATTTATTTGAGCATAAGCTTTCGTGAGCTACAGCTCACTTCATTGGATGCATGTAGTGGAAAATACTGAATATACTATATTTTCCACTTTTCATGTCTGAAAGCAATATTGAGAGAGACTTAGACTGTGGGACTGGCAGGAGAACAAAAAGGCAAGGAAAATGGATAGGTGTCACCAAGCATCTTAAACTGCAATCCATATAGTTAGTGATGGGGAGATGTCATAATAACAGATGTAAGATAGGGACAGGCTTCTACTCAGACCAGGTATGTCTTGTGCACTGAACTTGGACTCCAATCCTGTAAACACCCATGTGATTAACAGTAAGCATGTGCATGTTTGCAGGATCAAAGTCATATTGCACCTCTGGGTATACCAGATAAACAGTTTTGCAGAGAATGGGGACTTGATACTGCTCCAGATGAGGTAATTACAATTTTGCCACTGCTCAAAAACAGATTCATTGTATGCTAGTGGGTATTCAAATTTCTAAAATGTTACCTTCTCTGTCTACCTCACATGGAAAATACAAGTCCATGTATAGTCCAAGAACGTGTTTGCTTTTTGCTTCATTTTAAGAATTTCAAAGGCAAATCTTTATCCAATTCAGGAAAGCACCAAAGTATATACTTAATCCTATTGACTTCAATCATCCTTAAACACAAATGCATGTGTTTTTCTGAGCAGGGAGGCCTTCCTAAATCAGGGTCCAGAATTCTGCAGTGATTTAAGTCAGAATTCTGCAACCATTTTCTGAAGATTCAGCAATACTAAACTAGCAGTTCTGGATCTCACTCTGGAAGTCATAAAATGTATTATTTTTCCAAGTCCAAGTGATTAAATGTGTTCTTTAGGCTGACTGTGTCTCACTAACATAAATATCACAGATAGTTCTATCTTTCTGCATGAATTCTTCAGAAAACTGACCCCTCAAGGAAAGCCAAGAAATTAGAACAGACAGCGCCATAAGCTTTATTCCTTTATTTTATAATATGACCCTCAGTTGTCTTACCCTCGGAGAAAATCACACCTGCATTTAGTATATGTTATTTATATATTTAGAACAGAAAGAAAAGTTAACATTGTGTGTTGAGAGGTCAAGGTGTTGATATAATTTTCTTCCAGTGTTTCTTAATACTTTATTACTTACACCAATACATATTTTATATCTTCAAAGCATCATTCATTAATGCTCATAATAAGGGAAATAGTATCACCCCATTTTATTCACTGGAAACAGAGCCTCATTCTCTCCAGTCTTTCATCGTATGTAGTCATAGTAGTTATAAAATGGTACTGTTCTAATTTGGTAGTTTTTACATCCCCTTTGTACATGTGTAAATGGCTATATATGGTATGAGATAATGAATTGTCCACCCCATAGCAGAATCCACTCAGAGAATTTGTAAGTTGTCATGGGCCGCACAATGATTCAGTGTCATAGATGTGATTAGAACTAAGGCAGTTTGATGCAGTTATATGCTCTGTCCTCCAAACCATGCTGCCTCCTTCAGGAAGGATTACAACAATACAAATATCAATCTGTTGGGGTTTTTTTAAACTAAATATTCATTATTATTTATTCTATAAATTCTTGCTGTATCTTCCTTGGCTCTACTAGGTTTTATAGTTTACGTTTAACCTAGAAATGTGTGCCTTTAGCTCTGACAAATTTATTGGCACAAATATTTGTCCAAGAATTCATGAAAGTAGAACTAATTTCCAAGATGAAAAGATCCTTAATCAAGGGACCATATCTTCCTCTATGCTTAGGCAGGGCCACACATGTTGACAGGTGCTCAATAAATACTATAAATAATTACACAGCTTCCAAGTACTTTGGAATGTTTGAATAGCCTTGTTTATGACCTCTGGTCTATTACCCTTTTCATCTGTTCCTCATCCCCAGCAACATGGTCTGATTTCTTTCTCCCACCCTGCTCCATAATTTGTTTTTATCTAAGGCACCTCCAGAATATAGTGGCTGGACTGAATGGTCATTTAAACTATTCATAGAAATAAGATATCCTATTCTCTCCAGCAAGTAAATTGATATGTAGATACAGTGTGTTCAAAAGAGAGTATATTCGTGTGATGCTAGCAGATCAGGTGCCAGCTCATGCCAAAGCCCCTAGGCCTCAACGGAACTCCGACCAATACATAGGTGGAAAACAGTCTGGCAGCTCTTATGTTCTTTTTGTCCACTCATCTCCCAGCCAGCAGTTGTCAGACAGCTTCCTTTTCCTCCCAAAATCTTTTTTTTTTTTTTTAAGGACCACAAAAGGGAGCGATGGCTGGAATAGCTCATCCCCACATTAATTTGTCCACCAATTAAGTCTAATTTCCATCATACCAATTTTGGTCCTTTGATTTCTGGTATTACCCACATAATTGGGGGCACCCTACCTATTCCCGACCAATGGCTCAAGGCGTGACTCAGTCAATTTATACACCCCCCACCCTTTCCCTTCCAAGGGCTAGGGGCATAAGGCACCTACCCTTACTCCCAGGGCTCAGGGAGCAACCTGGTCAATTTAAGTACCTGCCCTTACTCACGGGGCTCAGGGCTCTACACGCCTGCGGGACCTCTTCCCAATGAAAGAGCCTTACACAGCTGTGCTCTAAACATCTATTTATTAGCAACACACACAGTATACAGATGCCAAGCAGATCTCTTATGCTCACCACTCCCAATATACAGACAAATTTCATCAGATGGCCAGTCAGGATTCACTCCTCTGGGGGTTCCCGATGCCCTTACACGTCATGGTTGTGTAGGGTATGATGTCTTGCAACTTGTTGTACTGCAGTCTGGAGTCAATTCCCAAAGAGCATTACTTTTCATTTATATTAAATAGGCAAAAC